ACGGCAGGGACCTAGCTCCGTGTGGCAGCCCTGCCTTCTCCAGACACCAAGTGTCCCCACGTGGCAGAGGATGGCACTGCGCCCTGCCGCACGGCACTCACATGGGGTTCCCCAACCGTAACACCCCAGGAGCCCCAGTCACAAAAACGCCCAACCTCGCAGAGCCCCACAACAGTGAATATGCCCAGGGATTTCTCCCTCACCAGAGCGGGGGGGGGGGGAGCCGACTTAATCTGTACAGGATAAACTTAAAAAACATCAAAAGGTCCGGTAGCACTTTATAGACAAAACATGTCGATGGGATTGTGAGCTTTCGTGGGCACAGCCCACTCCACACATTTATTGCACGCTCTTTATTTTACATTATTCATCCTTCCATTATGCATTTGATCACATTATGAAAATGATCACACGCTTCCAAGATTTCCCGGGACACTCTTGATCCCCGGTGCGAGCAAGTAAAGCCGGATTTGATACGATCCTCATCACGTCTCCTTCTTTTCAGAAGTGACTTTGCAGGACCATCACGAGCATTTGACCCTGAGTTCCCACACTCTGGACTTGGTGAAACACTAGTTGATGTTGAACATTTGTTTTCTTGAGTCTTTATACGTCCCATTTTCAGCCACTTGTCCATCATCAGGTACCCCACAGTCCAAATAAAAACAACCCACTGAGAATGCTAACAAACGAAGAAGCTACAGGTTGAACCACTCTCAGGACAGGACCTAAACCTCATTCCACGAGGAATACCACCTAATTCGATTCAGGGCTTTATTCCGGAATCCCGTTTCACTGCTGCGTGTAGACGCAGGCAGTTACTTCGGGCTAGTCAATTTCTAAAATGGCGACCAGCCGAGAACATGCAAATCAAGTGCGGGATATTTAAATCCCAGGCTTGATTTGCAATTCTGGTCGATCTAGGGGGCTAGTGTAGATGTACCCTGAGAGCCAGAGCTAGTGGCTGTAAAGAAACTGCATGGGACTGCGGGAAATTTGGCCACACCCATGCTAAGTGGCCATCCGGCTCACTCATATCATGGCGGACTACGGATGTTGCCGGAGCAGGAAGTGCCGGACTAGAGAGGTTTGACTTGTAGTACTTGAGAACATTTGCTCGGGTCGCACTGGAGCCAAACAGCACACTGCAGAGAATGACCGAGTACCAGCTGAGCGCCATTACTGCCCCTACCTTGGCTACAGTGACTGTGGTTCCCGTTGGCACGCGAATACTTTTCCCCCCACCATTATGGACGTGTTTCCCAATAAGCCCCTGTGACGTGTTGAGAACCCCAAGGGCTCACGAGTCACAGGTCAGGATCCACTGTTGTCCAGATCACAGGCGAGTGTGTTTTCTGTTGTCCAGGGAGCATTAAGGAACAGGGAACAGAGCCACAGCTCTTGTGGGTGCAGCTGTAGAAGCAGCTGGGAGTGCTGCAGTGCTGGGGAGAGGGTGAAACGGGACCTGCTCTACCCCCCCAGCACTGCCAGAATCTAGAACTGCAGGGGAGCCCTCTCCAACTCTAGGGAAACTGCACCTATGTAGTTGCTCCCATCCTCCATCGCCGCACCACTGCACTTTTTCCCTTCTCCCCCACCCGGCCCTCCGGCGCCCTTCCTTGCCTCTGAACTCAGCCACCTAATATGAAACAAAACCATTGCAGCTCTGACTTTGAGTTTGCTGCCATCACCTTGTTCTCTCTGCCGGTGTGTTCGCCCCCTTCCCCCGCCAGGTCTGTCTGCGACTGTGAGTTAGACAGCGCCTGGTGCAGAGGGGCCCCAGTCTCCACCCTTAGGTGCTACCGTAATAAACATGATGAACACTAAATACTCACCAGGCTGAGGTAGGGCGTCTTGGTTGCTGGTAGGCCCACCAGCTCCTTCTGGCCACTCTGCTGGAAGCTGTCTTGCCGGCATAAGGCAGCTCTCAAAACAATCACAGCCCAGTCTTATTGGGGGAAATTTTTTTTTTAAATCACTAGAGTTGGCAACATGGGCTGAAGTGCTGAGCAAACCAACAGGCTGAGTTTACCTGTACCCAGTCGTTAATGCGATGCCTTGTAAACTGTGCTAAAAGCTACCACTTTACATTCCAAGGCGTGGCCAGGTCCTGCCTCCAGGCGGGCGGAGGGGGAGATCCCCAGAGGAGTATTCAATAATCAGGGTCAATCGGCACCACTCGGCCTACAGCAACCGGGAGTGAATGGTACCCCACTGCTCTAGGAAGCAGCCTGCTTTGGCGCTCTCTGTTTTGGGGCTCGTGTGTTATTGTTGTGAACTCCCAGAACTAACCTTGTGCTGTGTTGCACCCTCTCAGCTAGAGGATTTTATGTTTTCGGCTAATTCTCTCCGGGTATGCTGGGAACTCACCAGTTAATGATTACGTGTTTTACTCTAGTTTCTAAAATCCAAGGAGGCTTGAAAATGAAACTTTGTCCTTTCCCCTCTGGCAGAGTTTTTATTTGTTTGTTGCTTCAGCCCTGGCTTCAATGGATCAGTTAACACAGCTCCTTCCAGGTATGTTTGCAACGTCTTTGTTTGTGCAGTTGCATAATGATTGATCGTTCCAGCCCTGGGAGGGTTTGTTTGTAAGCTGCGTGCTGTGCTAGAGGGACAGCTGCCTGCCTGGTTCCAGGATATGACCCGAACAGAGGCTGTTCTCTCTTACTGGGGCTTTTCCAGGGATTTTTTTCCCTTTCTTCGAAGTGGATTTTAAAAGATAAAATGGATAATTAGACTCTGGCCACACGGAAGAATTTTGCAATGGACTTTACCGGGGCCAGGACTTCACTCCAGATCTTATCATAAACTACGCTATGAAGATACATAGATTAAAATACAAGATGTTCCATTAAGGACCCAATCCTGAAAAGCTGCTCAGCGTCTTACAAGCTCAGGCGTTGAACATTTACTTCTCCCAGTAATAGAAAGGTAGCCATGTTAGTCTGATCTTGCTAAAACAAAAAGAAAAACTATGTAGCACTTTAAAGACTGACAAGATGGTTTATTAGGTGATGAGCTTTCGTGGACCAGACCCACTTCCTCAGATCATATTCTTGAAGAGAATTGGCATGACCATGTATACCAAAGGAATACAATGAAAAAAGTGAACACGTTTTTGAACTGACAAATCAGATTTAGTACAGAAGGTGGGGTGAGGGAGAGGGAGGGAGGGAATAGCTATTTATGAGTCAATACATGGCTAATCAGGGTTGATAAGAGAGGAAGCTATCTTTGTAATGGGTAAGGTAATTAGCATCTTTCTTAAGGCCCATTCGTAAAGTGTCAAATTTAAGCATGAATGAAAGTTCAGAAGTTTCCCTCTGTAATCTGGTGTTAAAGTCTCTTTGAAGTAATATGCATGTACTAAGGTCGTTAAGACGATGTCCAGGTAGGTTGAAATGAAAAGCAACTGGTTTTTCCTTGTGAAGATGTCTGATGTCTGATTTGTGGGCATTAATTCTTTGGAGCAATGTCTGAGAAGTCTGTCCGATATACATAGCAGAAGGACACTGTTGGCCCATGATGGCATAAATTATATTTCTCCCAGCAAAGCATCCTGCAGCTTGAGTGCCATCGCTCCTACGGACTTGGCCAGGAGACAGTCACATGCTGCCCCATCAGTGAGAGCGTGTGACCCATGAAGGCCTCAGTCTAAAGCCACAGTCACATGCCAGACACACTCAGCAGGTTCAGCTGTGAGTTGGGGGATCTCTGTCAATTGCATGGGCCCCCTCCGGCCCACGACAGGCAGGCAGGTGACTTGGAAGACGCGAGTTCAAATTCGTGCTCCATCACATGATGCATGACCCTGGCCGAGTCTTTTGCCTCTTTGTGGCTCAGCTGCCCATCTGTAAAATGGGGAATCCAGCACTTCCGGGGGTGCGTGGGGATACAGACATTAAAGATCATAAGCAGTGCTCAGAAGCCAGCCAAGTAGCATAGCACCAGCCTCGAGCCTGCCCTGCACCTGTCCTTGTTCCAGTCCTGTCCCAGCCTCGCTCCTGCCCTCACTGACTCCAAAGACTCTGGTTCTGATCCTCGGCCCCTATTCCTGGCTTTGAGTCTCTCTCACTCCTGGGCTCTGCCATTCAGCCTACGGTTCTGTCTCTTGGCCCTGGTTCCGAGGGATGACTGTCTCGCCCCTAGTTTTGGCTTTCAGATGCTGATGCCTGCTCTGACCACTAGGCATGACTGCAGATGTTCCCCCAAGCCAGCCAGCATCACTTCTGAATGGAGCTGTGATGGCGCATTGGGGTTTTCCCGTCTCCTGCACCCCCGTAGTGGCACGGACAGACTCCCCCAGCCAGTAGAATAGAGGAAGTTTATTGCTTCTCCAGGATACAGCACAGCACAGATGTCATCTGGTTATAGGACAGGCCTAGGATGCCTCAGACCCCCTTGAGATGGGGGAGCCTGGGCCCCTAAATCCCAGCCTGTTGCCTAGGCTGCTTCCTCCATGATACCAGCCAGAAACTAACTCACTCACTTCCAGCCCTGCCCCCAGCCAGGGCTCCACTCCCCTTCTTCCCATTGTTCCGCTCCCTGGGAGATAACTGGTCGGCATAATGACTCATCCCCTGCCCTGCTGGGCCATGCTGCTGACAGCAGCCAGTGGAGGTCACTCACAACCCACTGCCCAGCATAGTAACCAGCAAGGTACCCCCTACTACGTCACAGGAGCCACACCCAGCTTCCTTCCACCCAAATCCAGGTCTCCGTGACACACGAGGGAATTACGTAGGGCCAGATCCAGTGCCAGGGATGCTCCGAGGAGCTGGATTGATGATCATGGAGCTACAACAGTTAATACCCACTGAGAATCTGCCCTGTAGATGGTAAAATCTGGGCTCAGTGAGACAGAGACAGGGAGCTGAGTATTATCATCAGACTGGCGATGGCACTTCACCCCCCATCACCTTGAAAACGGCCACCATGGCCTTACCTATCCATTGAGCAGGGAACTCAAACACAGGAGAGGAAATACTCACCCTCTGCCCCCTGCAAACGTCCCAACAAGGAGCACACCCAGCCTCGGCCAGTGTTCCGTGCACTATGTGCTGAACAGGAACAGGAAGGAACTCCATGCTTGTCCCGTTAAAGTGGCTATTTTTAAAGGAAAGGATTCCCAGCAATGCTGCAGCTGCAGGTGGCATTCCAGCTGTGACGGCACGTTGGGGGTTCCCCGTCTCCTGCACCCCGAAATGGCACAAACAGACTGCACCAGCCAGTGGAATTGAGGGTGGGTTACTGCTCCTCCAGCACAGCGCAGCACAGATGTAATCTGGTCACAGGAACTGGGCTAGGATGCCTCAGGCCCCCTTGAGATGGGGGAGACTGGGCCCCTAAACTCCAGCTCCTCTCCCTAGGCTGTCTCATCCATGCCCTCCGACAGCCAGCAACCAACTCCCTAA